ATCAAACACTCTTAACCCATCTTCTGAATCAAGAAAACACTGTAAAACTATGACTTTTACCTAATTAGGTTTCAAAATCCCTTTAACATTAAAAGATCCATTTGTAAACCTCTATCTAATACAGAAAATCATATATGCCACACCTTGTAATCAGCCTTTACAAAGTGCATGCAAATAAAAAAGACACAGAATGAAGAATATCAAGTTATAATTGGTTACAACAGCCTACTTGTATGAGTTAAAAATCAAGTGGTTCTGGAAAGATTAGATTTGCAAACTGCAAGCTTATTTAATTAAACAATAATTTGGCAGCATGCTTATTCAATAAATATGCTGAACACAAATAACGTGTCAGGTCCTATGTTAGGCACTGGGTAGATATAATGATACACAGCATGATGCCTGCTTTCAAATGAAAAAACAAATTGAAAAGCATTCACACATAGTAGCCTCTTAACAAATGTTTGTTCCTTTTCCCCTTGAGGAGTTTTCAAATATAATATACAAAATGTAAAAGATAAGTAGCAACAAAGGTTAGGAAAGTATGGAGCAGAGAGAGGTAACTTCTAGCTTCAGAGATCAAGGAAGGCTTCATGGAAGATCTACCATTTAAGCTGAGAAGGATTTAAATAAGCAGAGATGAGGAAACGCATTCGAGGGAAAGGGAATGCCATGAACAAAGGCATGGAGATGAACACAGAATGTGTTCAGAGAAAACTGAGTCATCCAGTTTGGGGCATCATGCAAATGAAGGAAGAGTGGTGGGAGAAGGATGAGAAGGCAGGCTGGAGCCAGACTGTAAAAGGCTTCTAATTCTAGGCTACTGAATTCATAATTTATTCAGTAGGAAACGAGAAAACAATGTAAAGCTTTTGAGGAATGGAATTTACATTCATAGCTATGAAATGAAAAGGTAACATTTACATGATGAAGTTGGTGGGAAGGGAAATACAGTAGAAGGTAGGCACATAAATCAAGGCCTCCAACAGTCCAGTTAACAGACAATGAAGGCCTATCCCAGGGAGACAAGAGATATTTTCTAGGTAGGAAAAACAGAACTTCAAACCAGAATGGACAAAGGGAATGAAGTAGAGCCATTAAAAGAAACAAACAGTGGAGGAGAGAAGGAGGGGGTGTACAGGACATGATAGACTACTGTTGGTCAGTTTTATATAACTCTTTTCCTTTATTACAAAGCATGTAATTTTCCCTTTTGGGGGGGGGTGTTTACAGATTGGGAAGTAACCATGGGGTTAAAGAAAAGTTTCAATAAAATTTAAAAATGAACTTAAGTAATTTTAAGACATCAAAAGGTATCTTCTAATGATCAAAGTCAAAATACCACACAGTTCCTAAAGTGTGCTTACATTCTTAATGTTAATTTGAAATATTAAAATGTACAGACTCTAATTTTACATTAAACCAAGAATTTCCTATACTTCTTCAGACCTTAATTCTTTTAGCTAATTTCCATTTTTTTCCTTAAATTAGATTACTGGGGCAAAAAAATCTACTTCAAAAATTGCAAAATAAATTCCTATGTGCAAGTATATCTTATCTTGTAGTTAATAATTATAATTTGCAACTTATCCACACTTAGAGGGATAAACTATTATTTTCCATTTACTATAACCCTTCCTCCTCTCCCAACCTGCCAATGCACCCTAAGAACTCCTGGGCCTTGCCATTTCCCCTGCAGCTGAATTGTCCTACATGTGCAATCTCTTTCAATTAGCGTGTGAGCTCTTGGAGAGCAGGGACTGTCTTCTCTGTCTATCTGTACCCTCAGCATTTCGCTCATAAGTGCTTAATAAATGTTCTTTCATTCATTCATACTATCCACCCACATATCAGTCTCATGATATCTCATCATGGTGTGATGGTGACTAAGTTCTTGAAAGGTATTCCATTAAAACAAATGTTTTTGCCCCTAACAAAATGTAAGCTCCTTGGGGGTGACATTTATTTTTGTCTTTGCATTCCTAGCACATAAAGGGCACTCAATACATGTGTGATGGATGACCTGAATCAAGGGTATAATAAGAACAGATAGGTCAGAAGACCTTTTCTCCCCACTGCATAAGAACCAAGCGCATTTGTTAAAGGTCTTATCTTTAGTGACTGAAAGAATTCAGGAGTATGAGGTGAAGCACTGTAGCTGGTCTTAACAGATGGAAAAGGTTGAGGGAAAGAAGTGATCTAAAGGAAACAGGTCCAAAATTATAAGAATAATTACAGATTCAAGTCCCTCAAATCAGCAGCAATTATGTTTTCCTCAAATATTAGAACGCAAGCTAATACATAGGCTAAAGTTTAATGTCAAATCCTCTTCTGATTGTTAGAGGAAATATAACTGTTATCTACTTTGATCCAACAGTTTTCCAAAGGCATCCTAATATTCTTGTTTTCATGTTAAAACAATGAAAGGACAAATGCAACAGATCCCACCCTCCCAAAAAAGAATTCAAATATACTATTTAAGTGAGTAAGTCAACAATTTATAAACTAACATTTACTTTAGAAACACATTATTAAGCTAAAAGAGAAACTCAGCCTAATAATCTACATAGGGAAAACTAAGTAAATGAAGAATACCCATTGTTCTATGATAGGAAGTTGGATACATGTATCTTGGACATATACTACAGATGGACAATGAACTAGGCCCAGAATTGAATAGAAGTAAAAAATAAATTAAAATGCATTTGGGAAATTGAAAATCATTCTCAACGAGCCCAAGTTTTTTCCTAACGCAAAAACCTATCTATTTGACACAAGTATTCTTTGGGCAATGCTACATGACTATGAAAAATAATGGCTAATAAAGCACTTTCCAAATATTATCTCATTTGGTCCTCACTACAATCCTGGAAGGTAGGATTTTACAAATAAGGAAACTGAATTTAAGTAACTTGCCCCAGGTCCCATAGCTAACTTAAGCCTGAGGTGGTATTTGCATTCAGGTCTTCCTGACTCCAGATCTAGCACTCTATCCATTGCACCACATAGCTACCTAGATAATACTGCAATGTCAGAAGAACAAAAACTGCAGCTCACACTAAGAATTATGGAAAAACACATGGCATGCATAAACAAGGTACAGCAAATTACCAAGGATGACGTATAACCAGAAAAAGAGTCAGGCTGATTACGTAGTGTGAGCAACAGAAAACAAAATGGACACCTCACATACTACACTGGTAGGCAGGGCTTGTTGAAAGACCTAAAGAAAGGCCTCCAGCATAGTGTGGTAAGCCCACTTGGAGAACATGTACAGGAGTCACAGGAGATGAGAAGACAGGTTTGGATTATGACCTCTACTGTTTGAAAGACTACCCACATCAACCTATTAGAAATCTGCTAAAGAATAAAACAGAAATGTCCTCTTTTATATTCTTCTCAAGTCATAACCTAGACCCATGTTCTCAAAGCATGGTCGATATAAACTGATGATAACAAAAGCAAAGTGACAATACTTTCAAATTAGGATATATTTATTAGCTTAAGAGGTCCAAATCAAATATTATCTTAAAAGGGGTATGCGTAAATGACCTGTACACCAAAGCAGCCATCAGTGTACAGCATCAATATCACATAAAATGTTATAAGAGGCATTAATGTAAATTATTTCTTTAGGGAAACTTGTGAAATTCTAAAGTGATCTACCTAAAAATTATAAGCAATCTTAGTTGTTCCATCTAGGTTTGAAAGTTAATACTTTTCAATACTTTTCAAGCAACTGGTACATAAATTTTGCTTCAGTTACCACTAATGTTAAAGTAGATGAATAACAGTTTGGGCTAGGTTATTAACGCAGAAAAAGGAAACAAGAGAAATATATATCACAAAAATCAAACTGGGAAAAAAAAACTTCAAACTGAAATTTCTTACCTAAGTTGTTAATAATTACCAGGAAAATTTTCAATCAAAAAATGCAAATTAAAGCAACTCTGAGGTGCTACTCATATATATTAACTTGGCACACAAAAAAAGTTAAATGAAATATAAATCAATGATCCTGGGGTTGGTTGTGGAGAAAAAAGTATATTCATTCATTGCTGGTGTAAATCCAAAATTTTTTAATCTTTTTGGAGAACAATCTGGTAGTACACAGTAAAAATTTTAAAAAATTATTATCCCTTTGACCCAATAATTTGTTGCGAATATATCCCTAAAATGTTATTTAAAAAAAAAAAACAAAAAAGAAAAAAGATCTGTTTAAAGAATTTCATAGCAACACTAGATATAAATGCAAAGAAAACTGGAAGTACCCTAACTACTCAATAATAGGAAAATGGTTAAATCAGGATGCATTAATGCAATGGAACATTTGTATACTGCTATTAAGACTGACAAGTATTGGGGCAGCTAGGTGGCACAGTGGACACAGCACCAGGCCTGGATTCAGGAGGACCTGAGTTGAAATTCGGCCTCAGACACATAACACTTACTAGCTGGGTGACCCTGGGCAAGTCACTTAACCCCACTGCCTAGCAAAAAAAGACAAAAACAAAAACAAAAGACTGACAAGTATAAAGAATACCAAGAAATTTAGAATGGCATTTATGATGTAATTCAAAGTGAACAAAGCAGAACTAGAAGAATGAAATATACGTTAACTATGATCATAGGCAAAAACAAAAAACAATGAATAGACAAAGAATCCTAATAGGGACTTAAAGAGAAGAACTAAAAATGTATTACTTTATACAATTGAAACTGACTAATTGGCTTAGTTGACTAATAAGCTCAGTTGTTTTTATTGACATTCTAGGTTAGGTTTCTAATAGTTTTTTTTTAATGCTATATTTTCATGTCACTTCCTTTTCAACTCTTATTTACATGCTTTAAAATTAGTCTTATCCTCCCATCCTAAACTGCATCACCAAACATCTTGGCAAAGTAAAACTGTTTATATAATCTGAATACAAGAAATTAACTTTTTGATAGATGATATGTAAAGTTCTTTTCAGCTCTAAAATTCTCTAACTCTACTGTACCTCTGTCCCTGATCCAGGTCCCGGAGAATCCACTTTCCTTTTCTTCCTAGGACCAATTGCTGCCAATGCTGTTAAGTTGGCATCCCTTTGCCTCATCTGTGCTAGCTCTTGTTGCTGCATCTGTTTTTGAAAAAGCAAAAGAAAATGTTAACTATAATTATTTATTATACATGTTATACAAAAATACAATACAGAAATATAACAAAACATACCTCCTTTGCCTTCTGTTTCAACCTAAGTTGTTCTGGATCTTCTTGCCTAGATCGAGACTATATTTTGAAAGAATAAAAAGGGAAAAGGGAGAAAAAACAAGAAACTAAGTTACAACCAAAACTTTTCTATTTTCAAAGATCATATTTTATTGCCTAGAAATTATTTTTTCCTTTATATTTCTCAGCATGAAACTACCACCAATGGAGGCAATGTGCACTTCACAGGTGCATCAAATGACCCTAATTTCTAGACTCAAGGACTTTTTAATGTGTCAATAGTCAGAATTTTAGGGCTGCAAGTAAGAGGGGGAAAGAAGCCTCTGAAAAGTCAACAAAAATGATCTTAGGCCTAATGAAATTTAACTAAATTTTCTTACTGGTCATTTTAAGATATTAAACACAATTCAATCAGAGTCCTATGAGCTAAGCACAAACCTGTTATGAAGGATAAGAACCATGTTATAGCAAACTTTTAAATTCATATGAAGTTTGGGAACATGATTTAAATTGTGTACAATCCAAATTAACTAAATATTAGTCAAAGAGCTTTGTAAAAATTAGGTTTAACCACCCTGGGGGAATTTTTGGTTTTTTCTAGGTCAAAATGCAACCCTTAGCACAAAAACTACTAAACAACTGAATCAAGTCTTCTACGGAACTAGAAAAGCACCCTAGACCTAGTAAACAATTAAATAACATTGATGATGATGCACAAATCAACACTTTAAGGATAAATAAATTCAGAATTTTGTGCTAGTCAAGAGTGACCATTTTGTAGATTTATTTTTTGTTTTATTCTAGGAGTAAAGAAAGGGAAAAACTGTGATACACAATGTAGCTCAGATATTGCCATTTGCTTATAGAGTTTTATATCGTACCCTTTTTTGGATAATTCAACATTAGAACCTTGAAAAACGCAAGAAACATTAAACTTAAGCCACTGTTTTGGGGGATAAAAATCTTAGGATTCCCACATTCTTCAGTGGAAACTTTTCAAATGAAACGTACCCACTCAGTTCATATGTAAAAGAGGCAGGATTTGAACCTGGGCCCTCTGCTTCTAAAGCCAGTAAAGTGGCCTTCACATTGACTCTTATGAAGGAGAAATGAATGGCTCCTGCAGTAAGAGCCAGCAGAACCATTTAATCTTGTTGGCTCTATAAATCCCACTGGGTCTGAAATCCAAGCACTTGCCTTTGCCGCTCGCATTAAAATTTCTCTCTCTTGTTCATCTTTCCTCTGTTTTTCAATTTGATCAAGTTGTTCAAAGAATTTGAGCTGTGCCCGGACATCACTTGCCTGTTCATATCTTTCATCATCCTACAAGAAAAGCAAAAGTACTCTTAATTACAAATTTGAAAATATAATATTCAGAAGCTTACACAACACATCTGAACAAGACTCCATATGACTAATACTAATTCCCTTCCATGACCTTTTTCTAGAGTTCATTTTTAGTCACAGAAACAAATATGACCTGTTCTCTAATCTCACTAGGATATGACTTTTAAGTCTAATATTAAATATCAAGAAAGTACTATCTAATAGAAAATAAAAATTGAATCTCACCATTTTGAGAACCCTTCTTTACAAAATTAAACTAATAAAAATAAAATATTAATGTTTACTATGTGAAAATTAACTAGAGTTCAAAATGTTTACCTATTGCTGGCTAACCTTAACTGCTATATTACCCCCTAAAATGGCAATTCATGTTCTTTCTGAATGTAAAGTTATGTTTTAAGAGTTTTATGGTGCTCAAATTTATATTTTTCAATGTAGGTGATATTTTGGCTCAATGAGTATATGAAGCTGGGTTGTAATAATCTCTTCCAATCCTCCACCAATCAGGGAAAGACATATAGAAGGAAGCAATGGGATAAGATGTGTGTAAAGAAAAAGAAAATGTAACAGCTGCATAGTTGTCCCTGCGTCTAGCCAGTCATCTCAATATATCAGGCCTTTGGATATAGAGTCTTTTGTCCTGTGCGGTGACTAGATTAACGTAACTATTTAAAAAAGATATTTAGTAACAGCACAAAATGATCCTCCAACTTCGAAAGCAGTGAGTCTGTTAATAATCTCCCTTAGTCTACTATATAACTATTATTCAGTTCTCTATGTCTCTTTCACAAATTTAGAATACCATGAACAAAAACAATGAAAATTTTCTTGAAAGCTATTATCGTGAAAAACTCAAAATACTCTCAAAAGAGATACAATTGGCACCTAAGTTACCTCAGCACCCTTAGTTTATATTGAAAACCTTTCTTCATAGTCTCTGTCACAGAGCCAGCCTACTGTCTACACCCACCTTAACTCCACTGTTAATAAAATAAAGTGTCATTACCTTATAAGAAAGATTCTTTTGTTGGGCAGTTTCTGATACTTTTTCTACGAGGTTTTGTAGCCTTTGCTGTGTTGCATGTGACACATAACTTACTACATCAGGATGCAGTTCTGTTATTCCATGCTTTTTACCTAGGGTCAAAGTTTACACTGTAAGAGTTTCCATAATGGTTTAAACCCTTCGCTCCATGACTTGTTTTTTTCAGACTTTCTCCCCCAATCACTCAAGTTATGTAGTATTAAATATGAAGATAAGTATTTCAAAGTAGGAAAAAAAATGACGCGAACATAAAACTAGTGATAATGATCACTATGAAACACATAGACCAGGAAATGTATCAAATGTATACAGATTCATTCATATGAAGACCAAAGTAACCACTCATACTTGTTAAAAATCTAAACTATTGGTCAGAATAACTCTTGATAGGTAATACTAACTCAATTCTTTTGAATATCAACATACCTATTTCTAATATCCTTCTTTGTAAAGGTGCTGAAAGGAGAAAGGTTTCATCTTTACAAGATCTTGTTAATGTGCCCACTAATTCAGAATTTGTCGCCAATATCCTTGCACTCTCCTCTGATAAGTTCACTCCTGCCATTGATGCAACATCATTAATGTCATCATCATCCCTGAGGGAAAAAGAGAAAAGATCACTACACCTGAACAGGAAATTTATGGGGGAAAGCACACAAACATTTTTTCCAAGAGGTTTTTGTTTTTGCTGGGGGAAGACAGTGATGAAATAGAAACAGCGTCCCTCTGAAAAATACAAACTATAATGAAACTTTAAAAAATTAAAAGGCAAACTACCATGCACTCAAAATATAACCTCTTCTCCTTGTTCCTTGAAAGACCTTAATCTCTATTATAAATATGCCCTACATCCTAAAATTCAAAGGAGACAGTCTTTTCTTATTTTTTAAATAATAATCATTTTTTAAAAGAAAAATTAGGGTATTATAAGGCAGAAATTGGGGCTGAGTCTAGGAGGCTATATAAATTTTCTATTCCTTGCTGTGAATTGGGGGGGGGGGAGATTTTCTGAAAGCCTGCATTTACCTTCAAATTATCTACTTGTTATTAGGTCAAACTGCCAAAAAAACAAAAAGGTTAAAAATACATATATTTCTACAGCTCCACATAATCTAATAAAAAAAAGCTTTCATATCCTCATATCCTACCTCCCTTCATCATGATGCTTATTTAGCCTACTCTGACCTTGGAAAATATGTATCATCAAATTTAAAATCCTTTTTAAAAATGGATGCTGCAGGGTAGAGAAGCCATGCTTTGGAGGACTTCAGAGCTTTTGAGGACACTGTGTTCATCTGCCATTAGTTCTCAGAGCTCTGAAGAACAGGGAATGTTTTATTCTTTGTCTTTGGATACCCAGGATTTAGTCCAATGCCCAACACAAAAAAGATGTTTGATGAATGCTTGCTGATTGATTAATCAATTGATCTGACAAGAACTATCAAAACCAAAAATTAAGAATATGAATAAATATGCTTTCAAAGTCTGTCTGCTTTAAAAGTATGTGTAACAAAGTATAATCTATACCTGAAAGAACCACCTCCAGGTTCTTTAAGTTTATTTTTTTGTGCAGCAGCCGCTTGTGCTGAAACAGTAGAAAGAGCTTTGGTGCCAGGTAATACAGCAGGTTTGACCACAGGAACTACGGAAACAAAACAGACAAACTAAAAACAACCTGAAATTTTTATCACATGCGTCACTTATTCTGAACTTGTATACTTAAGTCAATGGTAACAAAAAATGTTAAACTACTAAGTTTGTTTTAATACACTTTAAGATTACAAGCCTCAACAATAAATGAAAGTTTTCCTCTCAAGTAATTATTTAGGAAATGTGCCTAATATTTACTAAATTTTTTTCTCTTTAAAAATTGTATATTATTTCCAAGCAGAGTAAAAATTTTGCTGCGTCTCAGAAGATCAGAATAAAATTTAGAACTGTTCAAAAGAGATCAATCTAATCATTTACACTATAAAAAGAAAATGGATGAAAAACACACATTGTTCAGATTATAAAATGATATTGGGTAGACAGCTCATATATATTTTCTGGATGGACACATACAGGTACAGTAAGCTAAATATAAAAAGGAAGAGAGAATATAAGAAGGAAGGGAAAAGAAACAGCAATCTGTTTTTTGTTTTGTTTTAGTGGGGCAATTAGGGTTAAGTGACTTGCCCAGGGTCACACAGCTAGTGAGTGTTATGTGTCTGAGGCCAGATTTGAACGCATGGTTCAAATAGAGCTGGTGCTCTATCTACTGCATCACCTCGCTGCCCCCCAGTCTATTTTTTTAATAGCAATACTGTCCCAATAATGCTACATGACTGTGAATAATGGAACACCATGATCTCAAAAGAATCAAAATTGCTGATAGCCAAAGGGTAATAGAAAGATACATGCTACTGAAGATTGCCAATGAGGACTTCTGCACAACAAGAGGTATCAAGAAAACAGATGACCATAAGGAGAGGGAGGTTGGTCACAGAACAAGAGAGAAGTATAATTAAAGATAAACCATGTGTTTCATTGTTACCACTAAAAAAAAATTTTTAACCCAGAGAAAGACCTTCAGTGTGCTAGGCAGATCCTCTCTTGAGGCTCTACAGGAAGACATGGATAAAAACCATATGATATAAAAAGTTGTAGAGGGCATACAATCTGTACTAGTGGAGCAAGTGCTCACATCTATTATCACAAATCAATCAAAAAATCGAAATACTGGAGGTTAACATTGACTAGTTTGAGATATAAGTCTCAAAGAATGCTTAATTTATACTGGTAGCCAGAAGAATTGCCCAATATCTTCTTAATTTCCACCTTAACTACACAAGTAATTAATAAAGTATTTAGAAAAGCTTAGAAATTAAACAAGAATAACTTTAAGAGTTATACTGGCTGCTGATTCTGAAATATAACTTCCTTGGCTTCTAATGGTCAGTGATGACTAACGTGTCTTTAACAACTAATCCAGGGCAGCTAGGTGGCACAGTGGATACAGCACTGGCCCTGGGGTCAGGAAGACCTGAGTTCAAATGTGATCTAAGACACTTGACACAACTAGCTGTGTGATCCTGGGCATGTCAGTTAACCCTGACTGCCATGCCTAGAACAACAACAACAACAACAACAACAACAAAACAAAAGTAAGTAGCCTTACCTGTCTGAAGCTGATTTAGTTGAATTTGCTGAGGAGTAGTGAGCATGATACGATTGTGTGGCTGTCGCAATGCTACCATAGGAGTTTGTGTCAATGTTACCTGTGGAGGTCTTATCAATGCCCCTGGTTTCTGTGGTTGTTGGATAACCTAGTGAAAAAAGGCCAAAGAATACTGAATATGTTCCCATAATGCCAATGCCATGCTTTCCAATCTATAGCATCTTATTCCCTTCTGTCATCAAAACATTTGATTCTTTACTTCCTAGAAAAATAATATATGGCATGTGAATATATATACAAACCATACTTATATACATACATACATACATACTGATGTATATATGTACCTGAATTTTTATTATATAAGCATAATGAAAAGTCAGGTACAGGGAAGCATAATTAGCAACTGTATTAATTTAGACTTCTATTTTCAAAGGTTATTTAAATAAATTCTTGGCGGGGGGGAGGGGGGAAGAATGCATTAAACTTCTGTGACAAGCTTTTCTGACATGCAAAACCTTCAAGGAACTAACACAAATATTTAAGAGCCGATACCCAATAAATAAAGGTCAAAGACATGAAAAACCAGTTTAAAAAAATCCTACCAACTGCCATTTTAAAAAATATTCAAAATTGTTAATTATCAGAAAAATGAACACTCATTCAAATGCAAATTAAAACAATTCTGACTTACGCTCTTACCCTCATCACAGAGACAAAGATAATGAAAGATGGAAAAATTCAATACTGATGGGGCATGGGAAAACAGGCATGCTAATTCATTAGTGAATTGGTCTAACCATTTGGAAAGCAATTTCGAAGTACAAAGAAAAAGTTATGAAGCTGTTCACAACTATTTAAAATCCAGCTGCTCAAAAATATTCATAGCAACTCTATTTGTAAAAGCAAAGAGTTGGAAACAAACTGTGCGCCTAATGACTGGGGAATACCAAACAAACTAGTAGGAAAGGGTATGGAATATTATTTACCATAAGAAATTACACATATTAAAAATTCATAGAAATAGATTTGTATGAAGTGATGCAGAATGAAATAGACTCAAAGAAATGCATACACACTGACTACAGTTACATAAATGAAAGTAGCATTAAACAGCAACAAAACTGAAGTCAAATATAAAGAACAGTACTTGTATATTTGTCAAAATTAAAGAATACAGCCTTTCTTTACTATGACAAATTGCAAATCATTACTGTGAGGATACACGTAACAATTTCCCTTTTTTCTTCCTATTTTGCTAAATTGTTTTAGGGAAATACACTTTGCATTGTTGTATAGGTATTGTCTTTTGAATCAAAATGGAACTGATTAATACAAATTAATCTTTCTGTCTTGATCATAGTGAAATTAATTAAAACATGTCAGCTCAAAATTTTATTACATATCACCAAACTATTAGGCCTGGCATTCAAGGTTCTTTATAATTGGTTCCAAATTTACTCACCCACCTCCATAAAACTGCTAATAATAGCACTTTATATATTTACATTTACATTGCATTTTGTAAATGCTCAGAAGAACCCTGTGAATTTGTGAAGTATTATCCCCACTTTACAGAAAAAGAAATCTAGACAGCAAAGTTAGGTGGCTTTTCTGCGAGTCCCATAGTTAATTAGCATAAGAGCTAAGAACTGAATCCCAAGCCTACTGATTTTAATTCTACTGCTTACTCTTTCTGCTCACTAGATCATATTGCTTCTCACTGTATCACTTGTAAGGATCCTAACTGCATGTCAAATTTGACAAGCGGATGCTCCACAACCATGCCCTAAACTTTCTTACCTTCATCCCTTTTCATGCTGTCGTTCTCTTTGCCTTGAATGTCTTCTTCCTCACCTCTGCCTGTCCAAATCCTACCCATCCTTGAATACCCAGTTCAAATGTCATTTCTAAAAAATTCTCAAGTTAGCTCAATCAATAAATAAATGCCTACTATGTGCTTGGCACCGTGCTAGCCACTTGGCATACAAATACAAAGAAATAATCCTGGTTCACAAGAAGTTTACATGTGGCCTTTCCTTGCTCTGAACTTCCATAGCCCTCTGCCTGTACTTCTTATATGCAGCTTATCCCACTCTGTATTTTACTATGATTATTTGTGTTCATATGGTCCCCACCAAATTCTAAGCTATATGAAGGCAGGGACTGTGTCTCATTCATTTCTGTATTCATCCCAGTGATCTGAATATAAGAAGTGGTCAGTAAAGATTTACTGTGTTTATTTTTTTCAATCATTCCTAATTATTGTTAAGTGTCTCAGACAAATGATCATGCAAAAATAGCTTAATGTGAGTAATTGAGAGAATGGATTACTAAAATCTTATTACCTACTTCAGTTTAGTTTGAATTGCATCATACATTTTCTGTTCAATAAGCTCCTAACAATTTGTTGTCTTGGACTGATCCTTTTTTAAAAAATTATGAAGAGGCAATATGATGTAACAGAAAGCCTTGGGAGGTTCAAGGGGGAATGAGGGGCAGAGAGTGCAGAAGAAAAAGAATACCTGAAAATTTCTGCAACCTTTAAAATCTATATAAGTGTTTATGTGGGAGGTAGTACAATGCAGAGAGCACTGGACTCAGAGTTAGGAGAGCTGGGTTTAAATCCCCACTCTGATGCTTACTAGTTAGATGACCTCAAACAACTCTCTTAACCACCATGTGCCTCAATTTCCACATTTGTAAAATGTCCCTACTTCATAGGACTTATGGGGAGAGCACATTGCACACCTTAAGGTGCTATGCAATATTACTAATATAAAGAGAATGGTAAAATTTGTACCAACCAGGCTTTATTTTTACACACATACATGTTATATAGATATGGGTATATATACATGTGTGCATAAATCTGTGCAATATATGCATTTATATGTGTGTGTGTGTGTGTGTGTGTATTATACATGCATATATCTATGTAGATAGAGGCATCTTCAAAATTTTCTTGCATGTAATGAGGTTAATGATAGTTAACTAATACAACTATTGCTAGTGGCATTTTTCTCTCAAAAGACAGAAAACTCTTAGAAAATCTGACCAAAAATATACCTCAAAGACTGTGTAGCAAACTGAAGACTCATTAAAATATTTATTATTCATTAAGCCAATTATATATACACCAATGATATGTATACGTCAATGGTTAAAGGACAATTTGCTTATGTTTCTTTCTTTTTACCAAGAAATAAAACAGAAAATTATAGGGCTTTAATCTCTTACATACATTTTAACTATTTAAAATAATAGATGATTTTCTTCCTAGCAGGACTTTTCTTTGAATGTTCACAAAAAGGTTTCTGCTGAGCTAAACGCTTGATTTAAAAGAGTGAAAGGCAACATTATACTCTGCCAACTGTGAATTAATAGAAAACGTCCTTCCCTTTCCATACCAGAGGTGTAGGTTGTCCTTGTTTGCTAACGCTGACTGGTGTGGGTTGTGTCAGACTGATGACTGGCGGCTGAAGAGTGCTTGTGACGGTGGCAGCAGTCTTCCCTGCTGTGCGCTGAACAGAGCTGCTCAGCACCACTGCTGTCAGGGCAGTTGTTGCCTGTGTTGTGGGCTGTTGTTGCTGACTTTGCTGGATAAAAGCTGCCGAATCTGGTGTTAACTGTCTCAAGGCAGGTAAACTCCTCTGAAAAAGAAAATAGTTAAGTTCACATCTCATATAATAGTTAAAAAATTTTTTTAAGATTTTCAAATTTAATTCGACAAATAATAAGGTTTTCTAAAGTAATTTTTAAAGGCAGCTGGGGGTAGGGAGCTCCCCCCTTTGGATTTAAAACATCAACCTCAAAGTTTCAGTTCCCCCCCCCAACTCCTAGTGACTTCAAACAGTGTTATAATTGCATTAAAATCACATAGCATCAAGTCCTACATTATATAAAAACATTTGTCAAAGAAAAGTTCGGTCACTGACTATTCTATGTGAAAACCATTTTTCCTAGCTAAAGCTGCTCCCATTATGTAGCCATATCTCCTATATTCACTAAGATTTTCACATGGCTCCTAAAACCCACAAAGAACATTAAATCTACGAAAATATTTTCTACATGTCTAATTTTTTGCTATTAACAAAAATATCCCAAATACAAAATCTAGCACCATTTATATTCCCTAATTTCTCTCTAGAAACATATTGCTAACAAAGTCTTTTGTTTCTTCTTAATTCCTAATATGAATAAGGGACTGCCTCTCAGAATAAGAAAAGTTCTCTTTCCTTCTTCTAGTCAGTCCCTGGATTCATGACTAAATTGTCCACAAAGCAACTGACAACTATATTTACTTGGCAAATCCAGAAACCTGAGTTTCCTTATTTTTCTGAAGGTATTCAAAACATGTACTACTTCATGATATCTAATTCACAATATCTAATAATTTGGGGGGAAGCTTTTCTTAAAGAGCACACTTAAATTTTGTCAAGGAGCTAGATTTAAAAAACAGACTCAAAAATCTGGGCAGGTAACTCAATTTAAATGTACACACACTGCTTTAGAACTACTATACTCTTTTTGTTCCTTAAAAAAAAAATCACACTTCTCATTGTTCCAAGTGCATGAATACTGAAAAAGAATCAAAGGATTAAGGATGTATAAATTACCTTCAGGAAAGGCACGAGGTAAGGTTGAGGTGAAGAATTAAGTTCTCGGTATAACCTGCTGGTAAAATCTTCTGCTTCAATTTTCCCATCCTAAAAAATAACATGCATAATGAAATTCACTACCTGACTAGAATGGAAAACTTAATACAGTTTACATTTACTAAAATGAGATAGGAAAAAAACTGCTACAAAACATTCCCCCTCCCCCAATGAATCTGGGGCATATTCTACAAATAGGTATAATGGGCATAAGTTTAACGGTACAATGGTAATGGGACATACATGTAAGGGACAAATGTGGTCAAAGTAACTAATACGCCCGAGAAGTATAGGGTCCTTCCCATTTTTCCTGAGTTATCACAGGTATCTTCACAAGTCAAGTAATCCTTGAACTTCTATATTCCCTTGACCTTTTCAATGGCTATTAATATCTGCTGACCAACAGTTATAACCTTAAATTTACATATGGCTCAAGCTATTAGTCTTCTACAAATATCCTATGCTCCCCTATGCAACTAGATTGTTAAGTCAGACAGGATCTGACTTCATATTGGCCAGTAGTCCTAATCCAGAGCTTACAGATGGTTCAAGTTGATCAGCTTAATCCTCTATGGCCACCCAGTATCCCCCTGGAGCCATTGTAACCAGATCACTGGGTTGGGTAGGAGTTGTCTCTGTATTTCCGCCATTCCCTAATTATCTACATAAGAGTTCTGTTGTGATTGAGATATATTGGTTGACTTTCTTAATTCTTTGGTAGGGAGCAATATCCTACTTCACCATCCTCAGAATCGATCTTCTAAGGTATGATCTAGTTCTGACAGTTTCCTCATAACAATCAAGAGGACTCATCCTTCTGCAGCTCAATTTTCAAAAGTAACAGCTTGTTCTCTCTTCAATCCATGGTCATCTCTCTTTTCTGTGGTCATGTATCTTGCTTCTAGAAGCTGCTTCCTACCTAAAATCGTAGTGCTCTATGTCTCCATAGAGAATGTGTATCCAATTTATGCTTCAATCAAAAGTGTGTTTGCTACCTGCTGAATGACCTCAAGTCTAAAACTAATTAACTCAACTGTCTGTTAAGGGCATGGACAATCTTTTGCCCAGCCAAGTCAGTTTCTTATGATAATTCAATTAAGGAATTTTATCACACTTCATAAAGGGGTAGCAGAGCACTAATACCTTGTTAACACGTTAATATGTCTTCAACTCTGGAATCTGCATTTTATTTTTATCTTTATTTGATCTCTTCTTCCCCAGAAATGCACAAAGCCAGAGATTCTCCCAGCAGAATCAGACATGGTCCTTCAATGGCACCAGGCCCCTTGCCTAAGTGTAGCCTCAAGGGTGATGGAGACAGAGAATGGCCAAGGATCCTAAATTACCTCATGGCAGCCTCAGGTGTCACAGTAGCCTGATTCCAGTAAAAATAAAGTTAACCTAATGAGAATCCACACTCCCAAGGAGAGAGTTGTAATTCTGATAGGAGGGAGATCAGGGAAATAACAAAAGTGTAGGTAGCACAGTTTAGAAATGGCCAAGAAGTAGCATGGAGACCTAGTTCTGGACAGGATTAAGATGAAAGCTCAGCTATCAGAGCCTAAGGTTCCAGAGGGAGAGTCTGAGTTCTGGTGGGAAGGGATGAGGAGAATGGTCAAACTGAAGGCAGATCAGTTTGGAAATGGCCAAAGCTGGAGATAAAGTTGGGTTTGGGCTTCCTCCAGAGGCTATTCTCATAAGGTCCAAATTTCTCCCTCTAAATTTATCAATCTAAAATACATTATAATTTTGACAAAAAAAAAAATTAACCTAGTCCATTATAACCTTGTCCAAATAATAATTTTTAGTTTCACCAGATTTTGAGATGTATTTTCTTTTCACACCTGCCCTATATAATCACACCATAGCATAACTATTTTTTTTTGCATCAAAACGTACGCTAAGGCAAAATACTATTGTTCAAAAATGTTCTTACCAGCAAATTCTGTACTAATTCTTTGACATTTGCTGCTGTCTCTGTAGACTGTTTACCAGATGAGGCCAGTTTTATTAACGTAGATAGAAAATTCTTACATTTCTTCACGTTTTCCATAGTTTCCTGTGTTGAATATAAAAACAAATAAGTGACCCAAAAAGTATTAAAAAGGCAATTTTTCATTAATAGCTTCTAGTCCCACTGTAGTATATACATTTCTTCTACTTCGTATTTCTTAATTATTTTCATAAAGATGCAAAATTCATACCTCTAGAATTCCGGCATGAAAGTCTTTAAAAGCAAAAGAAAATAGGTTCCTTTTTTGTATATTCAAAAATTAACTCTGACTTGATGTCCCCTGTTTATATAAATAATGGGAATGAAACTAAACAGATTTTTATCACTGGAAAAACTATAATATGAACTTTGATTTGTTCCCTTTCTAAAAATACTTAATAGATCTGTGATTTCAGTGGTAAGAGTATTCCTGAAATTGATACTGATGACAATTCTTCCACCCTTTGGGACACTATTTAATGAGTTGTTATACCAACACTACAGTGATCAGTCTATCCAATTCAACCAGGCTAGTCCTTGGACAAAAGACACAAAGTCCATTACTGAGCCTGTACAGAGTCTTTCAAAAGTCAGTGCTCCAGGGGCGGCTAGGTGATGCAGTAGATAGAGTACTGGCCCTGGAGTCAGGAATACCTGAGTTCAAATCTTTCCTTAGACACTTGACACTTACTAGCTGTGTGACCCTGGGCAAGTCACTTAACCCCACTGTAGCCAAAAAAAAAAAAAAAGTCAGTGCTCTGTTGGCATAACTTCCACAAACCCAGGGTCAATTCCATGTCATCATGAAAAATCAGGAGAGGAATTTAGTGAAGGTTTGCTTTGTGCTTCACAGGGCTATAGTGAAGATAAACAGAAAGTACTTTGCAAACTTCAAAGCAACATATAAATGTAAACTATCGTTATTAATTTAATAATTTTCTTAATTACATATAACAGACCCTTAACGTGCTTGACCAGCATGTCATTTTGTATCTACACATCTCTTTAGCTAGGTGTTCCTAACTGAGGGTCCATGAACCTCTAATGAATTAATGGCCTAGATTTCAGGAAATCCATAAACTTATATGGGGAAAAAAATCATATTTATCTTTGCTATAATTGGTTCCTTCACAGTCCTTATATATTTCATGCATTAAAAACACTATTCTGAGAAGGGACCCAAAGGCTTCACCAGAAGGCAAAAAAAGGATCCATGACACCAGAAAGGTAAAGAACCCCTGCTTTAGAAAAGAAGAGTGAAAGTATGGTCTTACTGTGGCAGCAGCAGAAGTTGGTGTGGCTCCTTGTACAGTCCTCTGAGGAGTTCCAGGCTGTACAGCGGAAGCTGTTCCTAATGCAGCTGTCTGTGCAGTACTACCCAGAACAATCTGAGGCTACAACAAATACGAAATAATTGGTAATTGCACATCATGAAGTCAAAGTCAGCTTTCAGATATAGCTACTGTTAATTTAACTTCCCACAGCTACTAGAAATATCAAGATTGGTACTACATAGAGACAACCAATCATCTGGTATTGCAATACTGAAACCTGACCACTGGATGGCACAAAAGTACTCAGGTTTAAAATGAAAAGTGAGTTACAAATATGATTTATTAACTGAAGACTACCCAGGCTCTAATTTGAATAAAATGGTATAGCATTAAACATTTGTGTCTCTGAAATTTCATAGTAACATGCGAATACAAAAACTCTACTTGTGTCAAATACTGATAGAATTTGGTCTTCTCAAAATTAGGAATTAAAAATAATTTGGCTTTAAGAAGTTAGCATTAAAATCTGTCTTAGTGTCTAAAAAGGTTAATATTATTCATCTTAATTAGTAAAATGGGGCCCCTGCTACTCAAGGAAAGTGGGCATCAGAAACCACTGTTACCCCTTATCCCTTTTACTCATTGAATTTATCAATCTTTAATTCATAGAATCACAGACTTTCAGAACTGGAAGGGACCAGAAAAATGTAATCCAATTCTTTGTTCCATCCATTTTATAGAAGAAAAAATTGAGACCTAATGAAGTAAAGTGATTTGCTTAAGGTCACACAGTTATAGTAAGTGTCATCTAGAATTTGAACCATCTTTTGATTCCCAGTTGGTAGTTCTTTCCACTACAACAGCTCTCCCAATCCTAAATTTTTCTAACTCACTAACTGACTGGAACAGTAATTGAAAAATATCAAAATGCCTCCAATAAGGATATTCATGCTAAAATTAAAAACAGTATACAGAATAAATATGTCACAAGAGAAGGTGATTAAATCTCAGAGGTAGTACTAGATCCTTTTGCTACAATATGCATACATCCTGTCTCCAATTCTTTTAAAAAAAAAAAACTTCAAAAGCTAATCTCATCAAGAGTCACAAAGAGAAGGATCTTCAAAAAGATGTGATAAATAGAAAAGATGGTCAGTTTTAGACAAGAATAAAATATTAAGTAAGGAAATTGTTACTATGACTATTAACAAATCAAGCAAATCTGGTAGAGCTAAACACATACTAACAACCTCTTATAGTTCAAGTTGCAGGGTCTCAAACAAATTTCTAATATTTCTGTTCTATTTTACATTAACATACCTGAATATTCACTGATATTTTAAAATATATACTTTCTTTGTTTGCAAACCTAGCCTTCAAATATTTCTTTTTCTTTCTCCATATTTTGCTTACATATGAACAGGACACACGCAGAAGTTCATTAGTAGGTAAATTGTTTGAAACCCACAATATATTTGCCCATAGAAGCAATCCTAAATTTGGGAGTTACATTCCTTATGCCAGTCCAGGAAAGCTTATTTAAGTGCTAATGCAGCTAGACTATAATACTAAAACAAACAAACAAACAAACAAACAAACAAACACCTAATCCTAGGAGCAGGCAGCCATGTGGCACAGAAGAGGAGAAAGAGTTTCCTGCCCATTTCCCAAGTGTATGGCCAATTCTATGAAAAATTTGTTAATTGCCAAAGTTTGTCTTTGTTATCATCCCAATTTACTTTCTGCACCTCCTCTCCACACCAACACTGCCTAAGTGCTCTGTACTCCAAATTACTAACTTTTTCCCACTTCCAAACAAAACTTGCATTCCCTTGTTATAATTGGCCTCAGATATTAGGAGGAAAAAAAACTGGAATTGATTTACATTGCAGAATAACTGGCCATAACATCTGAACTTTATAAAGTTACTAATTAAACCAAATAAATGTGATATAGGGTCATCTTTTCTAAGTACAAGTTTTGAAGTTGGGTGCTTGCCTTTAATAAGCAAGTTAATAATCTAATTCACCTATACAACTGCCATGTTTATATTGTTCTCATTAATGAACTAGTTTCATTTAATCTTCAATCATTAACTTTAAGCAAAACCTTAAACAGAAAACAAAGATTCAGCTACTGTATATAGATACTTAACTAAATAAACATCTTTTTGAGCTCTCTGACACAAGTAGAATGGCTAAGAAAATTCTGACTTGCCTTCATGATACATTTCATTCTTCAAAAGGCAGAATAACTGCTACTCTGGACCTAGTACTGACAAACAGGGATAAACTTTTTATATCAGAAATTAGAGGAATCTTAGAAGTAAATGACTATGCCATCATAAAGTTCACTAATAAGATAAGAAGGGGAAAGGTGGGTAAAAGATATCTGATAAAAGATAGGATCCGATGGCCTAAAGTCCTACCATGATCACAAACAATTCTGCTAAGGAATAAAAGAAGCTACATAAAGATAATGATGTGGTTGAACAGGGAATTCATCAACCAATAGTTTTTTTCAATATACAGAAGATGGAAGCAAGGACAGATAGATAACTGGAAATGAACACAAGAGTATCAGATAAGCATGTGAGAAATGCTAAAACAAAGCTGAGGTTTGTGATGAATGACTTTTTTTTTTCCTCTGACAGATCTTTGAGCTCATCGATGTGATTTCTCCCTCCAGTGGTGCAGATCAGAACCCATCCATGCCTTCTCATCCAATGGTATTTTTGTCCATTTCTTTCCTCCACAGGGGCAGGACAGGGTGGTCCACCCAATATGTTAGGGCCTTCCTCTAGATCTCTTGGCATCATATGCACACTGTCCTTTACTTATCCCTTGTGCTCACTATATGACTAGCCCACCTTCTTTTCCAGTTATCTCCTGCTGACATCCTTTATGCCTCTCCTCCTAAGCAATTCTTCCTTGGCAATATGATGCAACCTACACATGACAACAATGCAACTCTCCATCACTCTTTGGGTGCCCTCAACTTTAATTCTTCAAATATGGTAGTATTCCTTGGCTTCTGGCATATAGTATCACCAAAAGAATACTGGTGTTTAAAAAAATAACCTTTTGTTTCAGGAGGAAACCTGGGGTTACTGAAAGTGCTATACATATCCTAAAGGCAATCCAGCCTGCTTTCCTCCTTCTGTTTAATTTTGGGTATAGCTTATTGTCCATCCACTGTATATGTCCAAGATATATGTGTTGATGAACCAGCTCTATGGGTTGTCCACTGAAATGCATATCATAGTATGGACAATAGGCAAAATTCTTTGTCCACTTGGTTTTTCCTGTGTGGATAATTATGCCGACCTCTTTAGAGTGATTTTAGATCATATCTAGGAGGCAATGTTCCAGGTCTTGATGTAGTCAGCACAATGTCATCCGCAAACAGGAACATCTGGAGGACCTCACCATCTATACAGAATCCCTCTTCCATCTGTACACTGAACAGGACTATCTCCATGATGGTGGCAAATATCTCTGATGAGCATACATCAACTGGTTTTAAGGATCATGTCATACGCATCACTATGAATCATTATTAATAACCAGGAGATCAACCAAAAGTTATTTCTGTTCTTATATTTTTCAAAGAATTGTATTTGATTTTGACAAATGGCAAGGAGATACCTTATTGAAGGAAACCCTTTAAGGTGGTGTTTTGCTCAACCAAATCAAATTCTTTATAATCAAACAATGAGCACAGTAGTACACTGCATTCTCTATACCTTTCAGTCAATTATGTAACTGTAAAGATGTGGTCTACTGTAGATTATTATTTGCAAAAGCCTGCCTATTCCCTTCTCATGCTTTCATCAATGATGCCCTCAATATACAAAATCTCATAAAAAATTTTGTAGAGGTGAGAAAGTAGTCACATGGGTCAGTGGTTGCTGATATTTTCTCAGTTGCCTTTTTGGGGTAATAATAAGGTCTGTGACTTTTTCCAGGCATTTAGTATCTTTCCCTTTTTCAGATACCTTGAGAATTAATCCCTCAATGCACTCAAAATTGAATCACCTCCAGCACAGACCTCCTTTGTGTATACTTGGTCCAGTCCAGATGCTCTTCCCATCTTTGTTTTCTTTACTGTCATTTCCACTTCTTCCTATAGCACATCAGGGACTGTGATGTTAGAGTCCAAATGTAGTGGCTCCACTGTCATTGATGGAGAAAACAGTTTGTTATAGAAATCTTCACAGATCTTTTCCATTTTTTGTCTTTGTTGTCCTTTCAGTTTCACTTTTAAATGCCCTTGGGATGATTTTGCTTAGTTGAGTCTCTCACCAAGTTTTAGGTAAACTTGTTTTCCTTCCCCTATTTCATTGTTTTATGAAGTGATATTGCTTATAATATCCCACCAACCTTCTTAGAAAGATTTTACCCCCCCAAAAAAATGTTAAACCAATAAATACTATAGGTAACAAAAAAGGGGGAATCTTCTTTGCTATGTTGGGGACAAGAGAAAGACCAAAGAAGAGACAGAGTTGCTATTTTAATATACATGGGATAAAAATAATCAACCATAAAGAAATGAAAGAACCAATCATATATTGCTTCTGTTTTCTCTACAAAGTAGAATGATTTTAGACTAAGTAAAAAAGGCTAATAGGGAAGTGAAATCCAAGGTAAGTTGAGAAGACTGTAAGATAACATCTACATGTCCCCCACCAGTTTAAGTCACCAGTCTTGAACATAAAGGTACTGAAAGAACTTGTGATAACGGGGCTACACATGATTTCAGAAAAACTGTGGTAATAGGAGAGGTGGCACAAGACTGTCACAGTTTTTAAAAGGGGGAGGGTGTGATTTTTCAAATTATAGGCTAATGAATTTTACTTTGATTTCTGACAAAAGTTATTAAAGGAATGGTTTGCGTATATTTAGAAATGAAGGCACTAGAGTTTTTAAGGCTTTATCATGTACAAGTCCAGCCTAATTCCAGACTAATCCATTTCTTTTTTTTCACAGTTACTAGTCTAGAACACGGGAACACTTTAGACATAGTATATACCTGGATTCCAGTAGGTGACAAAAATCTCTTAAAGTACCATTATAAACCCAATTGAAAGATACGAACTACAATTAGACAAAATTAAAACCAGCTGAACAACCCAATCCAAACAATGGCATATGTATCAAATGCATAATTGAGAGAAATTGCTAATTACTGGAAGAAACACTCAAGATACAAAAAAAAAATCAAGAGGCTGAAATGATGGGTCAAATTACTAAGCTAAAATTTAATATTGATGAATTCCAACATCTTACTGGGTTTTTAAAAAATCAACTGTATTAAGTGTAATATGGGGAAGGTATAGCTAAACAATACTTATCTATTATATGAAAAAGTGTGGGATTTTTAGTGGACTTCAAGCTTAACATAAATCAGTATAGTATGATAGTCACAAAAGCTAATGCAATCTCAGGCTGTATTAATAGAAATAAAGTAATGAGAACAAGATAGGTTAGAGTACTTTCCCAGTCAGATCATATCTGAAATATTTTATTAAGTTCTGAGTGTATTTTAGGAAGGACAGGGACAAACAGAAATACTTCCAGAAGAAGGCAAGAAGGGTGATGAGGGAAATTAAAACTACATCAGACAAAGATCAAAGTAAAGAGCTGGTGGGGAAAGGGAGGGAACATGTTAGCAGTCTTCAAGTATTTGATGAGCTATGTGAAAAGATGTGAAAAGATTAGACTCATTTGCTTGACCCTAGGGGGAAGCCTAGGCAAAGATTTGGAAGATGCAGAAAGTCAGATTTCCATTCCATCTGAGGAAAAGCTTCCTAATAATCAGAACTGTCCAAAAATAGAATAAGCTCTCTATAGAGGTATAAATCCCCTTTCATTGGAGGTCTTCCATTAGAAGCTGAAAAGCTGAATTAAATCTAATCAGGGATATCATAGAGTACTAGCTCAAATATAGGTTAAACTAAATGTCTCTGACATCCCTTCCAACTCCAAGATTTCATGACTCTATAAAAAAATTTAGGTGACACATTTCAAATCATCTTTCAAAAGATTTTCCAAAATATCAGGAAAGTATTAAACTTGATTAGCTAATATGCTTTTCAAAAATTTACTTTCTAACTATAAATGTTAATTTCTACAAATATATTGCCTAGATATCAAAACTATTTCTTCTTCCTAATTAGATGAAGATGTTTCACTATATAAATAAGACGTTTAAAAGAATGTCTATTCTAAATTTTCTTTAAATGTTATCTTAATTTTCAATTAATCTGAGACCAATACTACCAAATAATTTACGGTACCTACAATCCTGTTCTTATTTTGCTAAAACATATGAAAGCTATCTGCAATATATTCACTCGTTAATTAGAACAAAACTATCCTTGGATAGGCCAAAATCACTTATTCTACCAGCTGGGTACCTCCTGGAGAAAGGATAAGCAAGATAGAATAAAAAGTTAGCTGATAAATATTTTCTTATTTACTTTTGAGTCTGATGTGCATCCAGTGATTTGAGGACAGATTTCCTGAACAATCAAAAAACTCTCACTTTACTTTCATTCTTTCTATAGTCATTTTACTACTATCACTTAGGATTTTAGATATAACATTGTATCACTCCTTTCTCACAGAGCTGATTAAAACTTACAAAATGTTTCACTCGCCACTTTTAATCTTTAGCAGTAAAATGATCAAATAATAGTTTCTACCCCAAAATAAAATGGTATTCAATTATTATAATAGGCTTATGAGGCCTAAGCAGCATCTAATCACTGGCATTAATTATAAATATCACTTTACATCCCCACCCATTATTAAAACCTACTACTTTAACAGAGCTCTTAAAATTATTTGAAGGCTACAGTTTCATTTTAGTAACTATTCACCTGTACTACAGGAGAACGTTGTAATGTTGTAGTTGGCTGTACCGTTGTCTGTGCCTGAGACACTTGCTTAATTATGGTAGTTGGTGTCACTTGCCGTGCAATAATTGGTGTTCCAGGAGCCTGAAAAAACAAACAAACCAGAATCGTTTTTTATCACAAGCATTTTTTAAGCATTTACTATGTTCCAAAGCACAGTGATAGGCACTGGCATTAATATGTGCATATAGGTTGGGACAGACAGGATATTCTGGCCAACATATGAGAAAAATCAATTCTATAACATATACAGTACCAAATACATTTTAAAAAGATATTATAAGGTCATCATCTCAAATACTTGCCTTATAAATTTAAACATACCTAACAGCTATTCAAAGATTTCAATAATATTCTAGAGGCAATCAAAACCTGTTTTGTTAAAAACATATAAATCTACATGATCTATGTCTTCTCATAAACTCTAACAAACATAAAATTAAAATCATTTTGCCTAAAATAAAGAGAATGTTTTTAGAAATGTGAAACGTCTGAAAAAATGTCACATCAAGGTTTTGCTATGAATTACTACTATGTTAGTAAAGACTACAGAACTGCATTAAAGTAATAAAAATATTTATTGCGTTATATGCTGGTTAAAGTGTTATGTAAGGCCAGGGAAATGGTCATTTAAAATCCTTAACCCAAAACAAACAGAAGATATTTGGGCCCCTATCAACTCAGTTTTGATGCTTTCCTGGAAGAAGGCTGGCAGCTAAAGTGTGTGTGATAGGTTTATAAAATTCAAAACCAACTAAAATGACACTATAAATATTTCATGTTTTATTTTATTTATTACATGCTATCAAGGGAGTGTAGGATAACATTGCTATACTGTGGAAAATAACATTTTAGATTATTTAAGATTAAAACTGGGAAATATTTCATAAGTTTGCTAGTTTTATACACTCTTGCCTTAAATAGGATATTGTACTTTTTACTGTTTGAAATGACATGGCTAAGGAAAAGTAGGAAAAGCTGTTTTCAGGTTCTGGGCTAGTCCTCATTTTAATCACCAGCAATTACTCTCAGAAGAGAGGCAAACAATGTTTTAATAGAATCTCCCCTTAGGACAAAGTGTTCCATTAGAAAAATCTTTGTCCACCAATATATAATCAATCACATTTAAGAATTTTGACATTCTACTACATTTATCAAAATATAACATGTGATGTTATTTCTTCCACATGAACCCTATAAGAAGCTAATCAAATAAATGATAAATCCACACAATCTTACATACGTATTTAAAAACATACATTAAAAATGAGCTACATAGTTAATTTCCATTTAATTGGGAGTTCTTAGCTAATTCCATGGGATTTGAATGTTTAAAGCAGTTACAAGTGTCTGTGCCACTACTATCTTAAGCTAAAAGATATTTTTGTCCAGATAACTCAAACCAGATTCCCAGATCCTGACGCGCAATGACAAATAAGGTGTTACAACACTTTAAACATCTGTTGATTTACCTAACCAATTCTATTTAAGTGTCAGCAATAATTGTTAAGAAGATGAACTGTTAAGAAGACCAGAACTCTCAGCTTGAGTCAGAACCGGAACTGACGAAGTACGCAGCTGCCTAGGATATGGCATTTTAAAATACTGTTTTAGGTTGTGTAATACAAAAACATATATCTCACCATGCATAAGTTATATGTCACAATAAAGGCTCAAAGTCTATGAAGGACAATAACACAAGAGCAATTCTCAAAACTCACATATGGCACACAGACACATTTTAACAGCTCTGTAGTAGCTGCAAGGGTCTCCTTTGGCTTTCTCAGATATGATTTTCTGTTATCACTGCCACTCTTTCAATAATGTCAGTCAATATCATCAGATTATAAGTAAAATCTACACTGGACATATCAAAAACAAAGTTTACCTATGAAAAGTTGCATAAAAATCAAATCATTGTTAATTTTACTTTGTTGCTAATTTACACCTTAATTTCAGGGATGTTTGGCTTTAGTTCATATTGCAGTTTAATTGCCAATGGGCATCTTCTCACTTTAAATTCTCTGACAACCTCTCCTCCCACATACCTCCACCTAACTTACTTAATTAGCAAGTGATCAATAAACATATGCAATGACCTATAATTAAATAAGTGGAGTGAACTGCTTTTTAAAATACTTTGTGAATATTTACCCTCTAATTTAGTATGGTATTGCAGAAAGAAAACCATATTTAGAGTAGAAGATTTGGGTTTGAATCTCAGCTCTGCTACTTACTAGCTCTGCATTGGCAGATCCAAGACATCAAACAAACAAACAAACTCTAGAGGAGGTTCTCTGACCAAGTACAGTTTGACGAGATGGCCTCCCAGAACCCCTTCTAACTTTGAAATTCTGTGATCATAACAAGTCAGTCGCTCACTGTGAGTTTCAATTTCCTCATCTGTAAAATGAGGGGGTAGGACTGGAGGATCACCAAGGTCCTTCCTAGCTCTAAAACCTATGATTCCTCTACATTATTATGCCTTGCTTTAAGAATCACAGTCAAAAAGGAAAAAGAGAAAGAAAGGGAAGGAAAATTCACACAACAGATCCTGAGTCTGACCCTGGGATATATCCTTGCAGTTAATACCCAACAATGGTATCATGAGATACTAATGCTACCACTATATGACAGCCTCACAAGTTTTGAGTTAAATGTTCCAATATCCTAAGTTAATAACAGAATGACCTCTTAAAAGGGGTGTTTTTGGAAGAATTGTGCTCATTTGTAAATAACTGGACAACCTGAGTACTGTGCTGGTACCCTATAAGTAATGAAAAGGCTTCAGTCTATTGGGTTGGCTCCTTTATGAAATCTACAGAGAAAAATATGGCCAAGGACAGTTCAGGATAAAAAGGCACAAAAAGAGGAGCCATGATTTGCAGTGCTCGAAATGTGAGAACAAGATGATATCTCACAAAGATGAGAACAAGAAAACAACGAAATGTCTAAGTACTAATTGGTACACTCACCTGCACAGTCAGGTTGATATCTGAACAGGAGGGGCACTTGTGGGAGTTGCAGGGCGTGGTGCCATGGTATTCTGAGGCTGGGTCTGAGCATGGGCCTGTGCCTGCATCTGTGCCAAGGTCTGTTGAGGAAGCATTAACAACTGTCCATTCTCACTTCGAATGAGGACCATACCTATGGAAAAAGCAAGCTGTAATCAAGAAAAGCAGCTTCTCACAAAAATATGATAAAAAAAATACCTTTATCAGAAGCCTACTAAAGGAAAACCTAATAAATGTGAAAAGAGAGACAGAGAACGGGTCTAAAAATAATAAATTCACTGAATTCTTAAAAATAGTTTTTAATATAAAATTTTATCTTTATGTATCCCATTTTTATTTGATTAGCTTTTTCAAAGGGTTACAGAATTTAAATAACCATTAAAGCTTCCTTATGTAAACCAAGAAGTAAAACAAAAGCAGATCCTCCTTGTTGTTCAAGTGAAAAGCCTGCTACAGTTAGTACATCCCTATTTGATTTATTAAATAGCAATAGTATAGTAGAAAGAACACTAGATTAGGAGTCAAGAGACCTAGACTCTGGTCCTAACTCTTGACATTAACTAGTGAAATGACTGTAAACAAATTACTTATCTTTTCCTAACTTCAGTTTTTCTATCTGCAACATAAAAGGGTTGGACTAAATAACCTCTAAACTCCTTTTCACTTCTAAGTTTTTGTGATTCTACAAAATTTGCACTAGCTTATTCACATTTCCTTCTCCTTTTCTAGACATCCATACCTGCTTTGACTTTATCAGAAAGCTAAAAATAACAATAATAATAATAATAATAATCCCCACAGCAAATTCATTTCTGAGTTTCCCCACAGACACAGCCCCATAAAATCCAAACAAAATGAAAAGTGAAGGGAGAGTTATGGTGTATTAGATTTGTTTTAGACCTACTGTCTAGCTGTCTCTGGGCCAAATGTCTGATTTCTCTTAGGAAAAGGCCATGTGGTTTGGTGCTTATCTTTATAGTTGAATATGGTTGAGTATACATAACCAACACTGAAAATGCTCAAGGACTAGACAGAAAAGGGTTCAGAAAAATTAAAAATTCTTATGTATTGTTTTGCATTTCTTTGACTAAAACACAGAAAAAGAAAATCCTATCTATTAGATTTGACATTTAAGTCATAAGTTCCATTAGAAACAATAACAAAATTGTCTAACTTTTAAACTTAATTTCCCATAACAAAATTAGTAATGAAACTGCAAGAAGAGGATTATAAAAGTCATAATCTTTCTCAAGTGAATCCACAACAGATGGCTCAGCACTGTGTTATACCCCAACTGAAACATAAAATAGTCCGGGAAATGAGGCATCTCCAATTCAGTGAAACAGATCATTCAAATCCAAACCAAGCGCACAAACTAAGAAAAAAAAACAGATCTTAAAACAAGCTCTCCAAGTTTTTTCTTCATCTTAGTCAAAAAATGGACACTGTGTCCACAGAGCAAAAGCAAACCTAGATAATTTCTTTAAAAATTATAGCTTGCCTCTTCAGTCAAATAAAAGTTGAAGAAATTTATAAGTTTTATAAGAAGATAGTCTCACAATAGAATTCTATTTCTCTTTCTAAACATTTCATAGACAGTACAAATAATCAGAAATCTTTTTAATATTAAAAAGGTCAAATTCTAAAATTAATAATAGCTCTCATTAAAACTGTTTCCTTCCCTTCTTGCATCCCCTCTCCCAAATATGAGACTACAAGGCGTATTAAAATAAAAGATGAACTCATTCATCCAGAAAACAAAAACTGGAAGGGCAAAAATAAAGATCATTACCCACACCCTCTCCCCCACCAAATTTATATTTTAGTAAAGATTTTCATCTCTTTTTAAAATGTCATGACCAAAGAAATGCTAAAGAAAAGTTTTTCAAATAAAGTAGGAAACAATGTAAGTTTAAAGAATTACACTGAATGACCTCTAAGGTCCTTTTCACTGTATACTGACCATTTTAGAGTTCATATATTATCCTCTACTAAGAAAAAATGTGGCCATTCAACCAAATGCATTATGGCACATTTTTGAATTTAGATTCACAAAACAAAGAGAAAAAAATAATAAAGTCAAGTTATTTTTGATCATCCTCAAATACACAAACAATAAGCCATTGTTCTCCTTTGCCTTATGATTAGGTGAAACATGTTATATTTGTAATTAATGTAAGTTTTGTCTAATGTTTAAAAACTTTTAGATAATTTTTATGATTTATCAACTTCTCATTCTCAAATCTATCTTTGTTAGCATGAACATGTAAACCTTAGTAAAAGAAAAACTTTTTTAAAGTAAAATGATGGCTCTACAGAAACTTAACAAAATAAGTAGTAAATTCATGAAATCACCTACAATTACAATTCTAAAGAAATAATTATCTAAAATCTCCCAGATTACAGGAAACCCATACCAGGTAATAACCACTGTTAAAATGACAAATTTCAGAAAAGTTTCAATGAAAAGATGTGTCTGTGGGTTAGAAGGAAAAAACTGGTAAGCATTAAGAGACTTAAACAATGTCTCAGACACTAAATAGTTCTAACTAGATACATAAATTAGCAAGAAATAATAATCAAGGTATTCATTTTGTGGTCAATATAGGTAATATTTTACCAGTGTTGCAATTTAATAACTGAAATTTTTAATTTAAAAAATTGCCACATATCCCACAAATAGAATTGGGAAGTTCCGTTCCAAGTAAATGGCATGAAATAATATATTAAGCAACATCTTTCCTCTCTGCTTATGTCTGCAATATGTTGCCATCATTAACTTTGAAAAGAAAGTAAATTCAAGCATATATGTCATGCTAAGAAAATTACTGCCAACAGTATTACATACCATGCTTTAAGGATACACCATTCACAGCTTGTGCCTTGCAACTCACTTAAATTGTCAAGTGGCAGATATTAGTTTTGACAAGGTCAACTGAAACTATTATGTCATAAGCCCATTAAAATAAACATAACTGTTATAAAATATAAAAATTTTGAGCTCACATAATTTCCCTTAATCATGTAAGATGAAACATTTTATCACTAACAATATACTATAAAATACAGAGACCAGACATCTGCCTTTTACATGTTTTCTTTCCTTTTGTTGAAGCTAGTACTAGCTTCCTCTATTAAGTATTTAGCACACTAATAATTACTCTCCCCACAATTAAAAAGGACAATTAGAAGTGGTTTAAAGTAATTAGTTATATTTTTAATCCAGATGGGGTGAGGGACCTTTTTTCTAGAGAGCAGAGAATCTTAACCTTTTTTGTGTCATGGACCCCAGAGGCAGTCAAGTGATGCCTACAGACTCCTCAGAATAATGTTTTTAAATGCATAAAATAAAATACATAGGATTACAAAGGCAACCAATTATACTGAAATACAGCTAACGAAATATTTTTAAAAACAAGTTCATGGACCCAGGTTAAAAACTGCTAGCTTGGGGGAGGGTAAGTGGAAGAGGAGATACTGATATTGCTAAGGGGAAAAAATCATGGTCAAAAGATAAGAACAAGAGTTCTCAAAAGAGGACTCATAAACTATTAACAACTATATGCAAGCATACTCCAAATCACAAATAATAAGAGGAATGCAAATCAAAACAACCCTAAGTACAGCAAATTGACAAAGATGACAAAAGATGGGAATAGTTTACATTGAAGGGGTTGTGGGAAGATAGGCATACTAGTCCATTGTTGGTGAAGCTGTGATGGTATGTTAGTACAATCAGTACAATAATTTTAGAAAGCAATTTGGAATTATGTAAATAAAATGCCTAAAATGTCCATACCCTTTGATCCAGAGATCCCACTATTCTAGACATAACCCAAAGAGGTCACTGGTAATAAGAAAGTCCCCATATACACCAAACTATTTTTTTTCACAATGTCAAAGAATTGGAAACAAAGTAGATGCTCATCATTTGGGGGAATAGCTAAATAAATGGTGGTACATGAATATGAAGGGGTATTTCTATACAATAAAAAAGGGCAATTATAAATACAAAGAAGTATGAAAAGATCTACGTGAACTGATGCAGTCAGCAGAACCAAAAAAAACAATTTACACAATATTATGCAATTCACACTATGACTACAACATAAATGGAAAAACCACACACAAAAAAAGAAAATCAAGAGTGAATGTTGCAAAATGATAAAGACTAAGCATGGATCTACAAAGGATATATAAGAAGGGATTCCCACACTCTACACCCCACTTTGCAGAAGCAGGAGATTCACTAAAGTTGTACATTGCATATCTTTTCTGACTTTTTCAATGTACTGATAAATTTATGATGATTTTTTTCCCTCTTTTTCTTCTTTAGTCTTAAAAAATTACTATTTTTATATAGGATGTCTCTCTAGCATGAGGAGAGGGAAAGGAAAAGATACTGGGAGACACTATGGTGATGTTAAGAAAAAAACCAAAAGATATCAATAAAACAATTTTTAAAAAGAAAACGAAAAAAATCAAAGGCTACAATAAAAACTTTTTTCCAAAAGGAAATGATTTAATAAGTTTGTCTTTTGTCTCTTCTATGATAGACAACCAAAAGTTATATGCACCTGATTTTTAAATTATTAGTGGAAACAAAACTTTATTTTAAAACGCTGCAGCTATTAGAACATCTTTCAGTTACATACTATAGCCAGTTAAAGTGTTTAGGAACAACTTGAAGGGGAGCGTGTAGCAAATAGAAAGAGGGTGATGAACAAAAACACAAAATAATGAAGGGGAAAAAGATGGATGACAAAATTGGGGGACAGGTAGGAATACAAAGGTAATGGGGGTAAGAGAAGGGAGGAAACAAGAAAAAGGTTTAGTAGGTTCTGAGGTGTTAAAGATATAGCCATTCCCGGAATTACAAATACCCAACTTATGTACACTCTTAACTACTAAATATAAACCATCTTACCCCACCAACCAAACAACCACCATTCTCTACCGCAAAGCCAATCCATATCACCCTTCTCCTCACCAATACACCTACCTACACACACACACACACACACACACACACACACACACACACACACACACACACATACCCCAGCACTACCAATCAGGACACTATCCACAGTTAATAATTCCACCTGGTGACTATAAAAGCATATATATAAG